TTTTTCAAACACTGTGTCTACACTGTAACTATTGTGAGCATCTTTGTGGGTTAGAGGGCAGGTCTCAGCCTCCAATTAGTTATTGAAAAAAAAAAATTCAGGACCAGAAGGACCACCCTCCAACTCTCAGCACTAATCAGACCTAAAATCATCTACTGTAGACTCACGCTGGCCTGATATTTCCACTCTCTCCATCGTTTTTGTTAACAATAAGCTGATGGGACGTGGGACTCTGTGTTCAAAGACCAACACGACGAGCAGCTGTACTCAGGAACAGCATGCTCCCCTTAGGCCATGATTCCTGCTGCTATCAGATATTTTTAATTAAGCAAAGTGGAAAGTGATTTTATTGCCCCGTCTGGCCCATGAATGGAAGCTGTATTTGCTCTTATTGCATTACTCCAGAAACAATGTGCTGAATACGCATGTTTTTCTTTAACGTTCTGCTTCATAAATCAAACAACAAACAACAGTATTTCACTGAGCCACCAGAGGGTTCGGTGATTTGCTCAACAGACCACCTTTGACTACTGTTGCTGCTCACTTACTTTAACTACCCAAATGTCTCTAGTGTAGACACAGGAGGTCAATGGATTGAGAGTGACTGCCTTGCGACTGTCAAACCTATTTGTGTGACGGTTCTATGCTGCTTGACAGAAGCTGTACAAACCTCCAGAAATGCAGCTCGAAGCCTTCACACTTGTCCTTGCATTTCAAACAGGCCGCTCCAGCGCCAAACTCATGGCCCAGGGTCATCTGTGAACAGAGCACAAGAGGGAGGTTACAAGTTTTATCACAGTTTTGTGTTTTGACCACAGAAAAGCTTCCTTAGGGCAGGGCATTCCAAAATGTGTTCTGGCGCGGCACGCCCAATATCAAATTGGGACTTCTCAAGGGACCCAGACTCTTTTGGGAAGCTGGAAGGGACAGGACCAGGACACACTACTCGGGATAAATAAACATTATTTTTCACAATATAACCTTAGTTTGGGGAAAACCCCTGTTTTAATGTCACTCTCCGGCTTCTTGTTGGCATTCATGTGAACTGTGAACCGAGCGAATAGTTTTCTTTTTGCCTTTAGAAATATTTCAGCAACATTTCTCTTAAATCACCATAACTGCACTCAGACATCTGAATCCTCTCCAGTTTTCTTGCTGGTGAGTCCGTGCTGCTTTGGCTTCTGTGTCAAACAAAGCTCGTGTCTACCTTAAGCCATTAACGTGGTTTATGACCATTTATGGACAGCTATTTAATGTTGCTGAAAGCCTCGTGGGATCCCAGCAGGCAGTCCTTTTGTCGGGGAGATGTTTTTGACCCAAAAGACACTCACTACTGAGGAATGCAGACAGTGACTCCTGTTTGCCAATATCTTAGCTTCCATTACACCTTCCAGACTAGCGAGACTTTCCTCCCCTGGGAACCATTGAGGAGCAGAAGAATGGAGTTTAACAGTATGATTTGTGACGATAATTAAAGCGGCAAACACATCGGTAAATCTCTGTATAGTTGCACACGCCACTTAAGACCCTTGCACTTTCACTTTGCCTCGCCTTACAGAATCCTGCTAAAAGTGGAAACGCGTTGAAAGCTGTTAAACAACATTCCATAAACAAGGAATATGATTGAACAAGATTACAAATCTATCTATTAAGGCATATATTGTAGATAGATACACTGACTCTCCTCAGAGTGCTGTATGAACTACATACTTGCACTCCAGTTTGTGATCTGTCACTTTCAGATAATCTGCGGTGTTCCTTTAAGACGTTCGGGATAAGATCATCAGCCAAATACCTCAAATGCAAAAGTGAGTGTGGGGATTCAAAGTGAACCACGCTGAGTGTTCACTACTTGTGGGAGTCTAAATATTTGTCTCTGGCATAGTGAGGACGACAGGCCATTTTTTTGCTGATGTCATTCAGTGTGTGTGTGTGTGTGTGTGTGTGTGTGTGTGTGTGCGTATTTCCTTTACAAACTTTGCTGGAAGTTTATGTTGATGACTTTGTATTATGACTAAGCCTGCGGGGTGAATAATTCCGATGACAACACTCCCAGAGGCTGTTCAGACTCACAGTATACAGTTCAGGTCCAGTGAGTCATATTCATGAGTCATGTGGTCGCAGCAGGCCTGCACTGCAGACCGGTGGCAGCTGTAATGATGGCAGTCACTCGCCATTGGAGCCATTTTAACTTCAGCGGGCCACCTGCTCTCAGACCAGGACATCTTGCTTCTCCAATATCAATTAGAAGCCAAAACACACATTTTACACAAAACTTCAAACTTCATTTCTAACTTAATCTGTGTGCTCACAAGCAGGGTGGAGGGTGCTCACACATCCAGTGAAAGTGGGTGCAGAGGCCACACGGGAACACTGACCCACTGAAGCTTCTGGCTCTGGCTGCAGAGAAAGGATAAAGCATGGGGGAAAGCAAGGATTGGCTAGTAGGGTGTGGTAGAGACACGTCCCTTGAAATTAAATAAGCAAAACATCAGTTGAGGCTAACTACTGGCTGGTGACTCTGCAGGCAGTGCAATGACGCTCAGCTATCTAATATTGTTAAAGATTTTATATTTATTATTATTTTCACATTCGTCTTCTGTTTTGTTCTGCAGGTGGAACTGTAGAAATATAAAATGTATTTGAGCAAACCCGGGATTACGTAACTCTTCTCTGTTCAAAATGTTTCCTCAAACTCAACATCCGTTTAGGTGTTTGGAGAAGAAAATTACAGAGAGAGATCACCAGAAATGGAAGAGGTGATGATGATTTCCCAGCCGGCACACAGTGTGCTCACAGTTACATTACAACCCACCGCAGTGGTCTTTTTGGAAGACTGCATGAGCTCAACTGAGCATACTATGACCTAAACACATGAGCTGCACTTCTTCAAAAGGGCACTTATAGTGTGACAGTAATTACAGCAGCCTCAGTGACCTGTAGCCTCTGCAGACTTTGTTCCAGAGAATTACATGAATTATTCTGGAGACGTGCTGGTGTGTGCTCCACACGGACTCCCAATGCAGACACGTTCTTAAAAGTATTTTAAAGTGACTTGTACAGCCAAAGTGAGGACAAAAATGACCCCCCAGGACCCTAGATGAGAGGTTTTTAAACTACTAATTTGAAGTTTTCCCTCACTCACAGTTTACATACAGTTCAGCTACTGATGATAGGTTTTGGATTGCGCTGTGCATTATTACAGACTGAAGTATACGCAGAACAATCCCAGCAATGCGCAAACTCCCAATTAGTTACACTGTGATCATCCGTGGGTCATAAGTAGACTCAGCAGGAGGAATCCGGTGCATGCAGGAAGCCCGAGCAAGGATGTGCATCTAAAATGAACTCTCTGATCTGAAATGAATGGACATCTACTGGACTAGCTCTGCAGTCTGTTCCTAATGTCTGGGACAGTAAATCCCACACTTCCAGAGACCCTCCTTAACATCTTAAAGTCCCAGAACAGACTTCCCCCTCCTCCCTTCTATGACCAAATCCCATTGAAAGCTCCCTTCAGTCTATATCTGAAGTACAAAGAGGTATACGTTCTTCATATCTTATCTAGATTAGCAACTGAAACAGCAGCACTAGTTTAAGCCCTGGAAAATAAGAATAATAGAGAAATATTGAACATCAGTGGTGTGTAAACTAGGACTGTGCACAATATCCGTGCAGAACTTTGTAATATCTTCAGTTATTTTGCTAACAGAGCTTGTGAGTTCTGTTGATAAGCAGGGTGACACTACGACTGCAGTTTTATTTCAGTTCTTTCAGTTGTGATATTTTTAAAAAAGGAAGGAAGCTCCCTGGTAAAGGAGAGTACTGGGTCTATTGCAGACCAATAAACAGCACCAGTGCTCGCGAATATCTATCAACTGGAATTTATAGTTACGTTAGCTCGTTATTTATATAATTTAACTCCAATTTCATCAATGAAAACGCAAAAAAAAGATGACTTGAAGTGAAAGCAAAGAAATAAAGTCTGCCTATGAGACAGTAACTTTTGTCGCCACCTGCCCCTGGTTCGGCACACCTTCTCAGGGCGTTCCCGGTCAGTCTGAGTCTGAGAGTACACTGGGGGCGAAAGCTTACCTTCTTCACTTCCTTCTCTATCTCCATTTTTGTGTCTGTCAGCTCGGGTTTTACTCGGTCCAGACGACGCGAACAGAGCAACTAAAAACTGCTGTCAAAACCAAAAACTGACAGAAACCGGACCCGAGAAATGATACAGCGTCCCGGTTCACTCTCCGTTTTCTCCTCGGAGGTCCTGCTCCGCGCAGCTGTCAAGTTACACTGAATCGACTGAATGGTTTCCGGTCAGGGTTTTCAAAATAAGACCTTTGTTCGAAAGGCATGGCTCTCTCACGTCGATTGTCTATCTACATGTACATACGGTAGATGTAAATAAGTAGCAAACAAAGCAAAACAAACAATATTTTGAGTCACAAAAGAGTAATGAAAACTTAAAATAGGTGTATGTAAAACAAAAGAGACGGAAGGATTAAGACCTTTAGACTTATCATATACAGATATAATAAGTGGAATTAGTAAATGGTAACATGATATGCATTTACATGAGTACTTATGTGGCTAAATGAGTAAGCATTAGTCCTATGGGAAAACATATTCAGTCTAAATACCAGAATACAAATGTGTTGCGTTGCTGTCATTTTGTTTTGCCTTTTATTTTGAAGATGAAGTTTCCCCACTTTCGTGAACATGTTTACGTCCTCTCTCCAGCTTGACGCGGGTTTCACTCTGGGGTCCCCGTTCACTTTTCATTGATTTTCTAGGCGGCACTTCCGCTATGATAGAGCTTCATTGTGACCAATAGGAATAGAGAAAGAGAGCACTAGTGGGCAGGATAACCAATCAGAGAGCAGCAGGGGCGTGTTCTTGTCGTAACAAAGGATGTTATGGTGTTTTGACAGATTCAACCTGCAGTAGTTCTGATTCTAAAATTGTGCAGTTTTTTTCTTCCAAACAGTTTATTTTTATTGCCCTTATAATGATATTATTAAAAAAGAAAAAAATAATGAATGTGGTAAATTTTTGTCTTTTTTTTGCATTTTTTGAGTCTAGTAGGATACACCTTGGAATAAACACACACACTCACACACACAGTGACACAAACCACACACCACAGCTGGTTGGTTCAGTGATCTGATGTTTCGTGGTTCGTACAAAAACGCCTGTCAAACAGCTGCAGTGTTGCCTCAGTCACAGGAAACAATGTGGTGAGCGACTTCCTCTGTGAACTGCTGCTGGCCTTTTCCAATGACACACCACTGTCACACCCTGACAGGTCAGATTGTAGATTCTGTTCTGTCAAGATGTTGAACGAGTGTGGATGCTGTTTCAGGAACAGCTTCACTGTGATGTCTGATCTATGTTGTCTGGTATGAACATCTGTAATACAAGTGTTTTAGCCTCTATAAACTCTCAGACAGCTGTTTTCCCCTCGTTTCCAGAGATGTTGTCATTTCCTCAAAACATAAAACAACCTCATCATGTGTTGTGAAGCTGGACGATGCTATGACCTTTAACGAGCCTTTAACGTGTAAAAAGTAAATGACTCAAAAAGATGGCCACTAATGCCTTGTGTGACCCTGAGCAAAACTGGGTGGGGTTAGAAAATGGACAGATCAAAAGACACTTTAAAGTTAGACTTAACAACAGTCATATGATGTCTAAAAATAAACCCACCTTATCAGCTTGAACCACGCAGTGTGGCTGCAACAGTGTGAGTGTACTGACAGTGGATTTCAGTCTGCACAGTCTAAAAAAAAGGTAAAGGTACATTTTTACCTTTAAAATAATTACATATTATTATTTTATCTACCTGTATGGTGGGGTTGCAAACAAAACACTCACTGACCATCTATTTTGAGGTAGCCTAGTTGTGGGGACTTATTGAATCACTATGAACAACTGTAACATTGTGATGGCACCAAAGACAAGTTGACAACATGTGAGTTGGGTTATTGCTCTTCACCCTCCCCTACCCATTTTAACTCTTACTAGTGCTTCTCTACAGCCATGTTCAGAGTGTTTGTGCTCTCATTATAATAACTAGCATATTTAGCATACAGAATCAACTATCTGTCTATTTGAGGGGCAGGGGTGAATAAAGTAATAAAGGCACGAGCACGCAGAAAGTTCTGATGCATTTATGGTGAAACAGTTACAAACCCTGGATAAGAATCGAATAGTTTTATTATGTGAGTATAACTACTCCACCTCTTTAATGAAATGCATGAGGAACTATTAACTATTTAGGAGGACCTGGAGTCCACCAGTGTACAGCACCCTGGCCCCCTAGTGTTTGTCTACATTGGCTCTCTGACTTCATAACTTATGTGTCCTTTTTCAAATTTGGTTTCAAATTTCAATATTTTCCACATATTTTAATTGCATACCAACAACTTGTCCAAAGACATTCCCAAATGTTCATTAGAGTCTCCATTAGTTTTGCTGTAGTTACAGTTATGGACTGCAGCTTTAACCCTTTAAAGGGCACTCATTGAAATACTTGGGAATTTGAAATTTCAGCCCTGGAGTGTTATTGGTGGATATTACAAGACATTTTTTCTTTTTTTACTTTTTTAAAAAGTTTCAGTTTTAGGCTACAAATCAACGTCAATGATGTCTAGGTGGGCTGGCACAACAACAATCTGTGGCACAGGCCTCCTCTTCTCATAAAGGGACTGAGCAGACAGCTACTGCAA